TTGGATTAGCCAGTTTTCAAAGGTTTCTTCCCCTTGGGCTGGTACCGCTCTGCTGGTAAACAAATTCATGTTTCTTTCTGCCATGCTGAACCTTAAAGGACCAAGACTCCTCCCCAAGGACCTCAACATGGAAGGGGCCCAAGGAGGCAAGAGTGTGTTTTGCCGCCAGCTATTACCCACATGAGTAATGATGCTAGCCATGACCAAATGATCAATGGTCGCCTACATGTATAACAAGATGCTCAGGCTTTTAGAAAAGCCTAATCTGCAGGAGGAATTCCCAAAGCAATATTCCTGGGCTCTGCCTTCCTTGTATCTCAATAGGAGCTTTAAAAAAAGTGGTGGGGGGATAGAGGGGGTAAAGTCAATAAGGTAGTAGAACTCAGGGAAGCAGCCTGCAATAGGTTTCTCAACCTTCCTGAACATCCTGCAGTACATTTTATATTTGCCCACTGCCCTAAAATTAACCTTCAGGAAACTGTCAATTACAACCATCTTGAGCTAGGGGGTGTCCCATGCTAACAAGGATGCTTTTCAGAGCCACATCCATCCCCTCCTACCAATCATCCAGGAGGGAGGAGGATGGGCAAACTGTAGCTTGGAATTCCAGGTAAAATAGTGTGTGGAGCTGAACCGGGTGCTCAAAATAGAGTGCAATGGTCTAAGTCTTACAGATTTGTGGTAATAAATTAGATTAAACTCTTGGTCTCAGGTTTCAACTATAACCCCTTCTCAAAGTTTGCTGGTTATTTCTCAGATTCTTACCAGAGCTCAAAAACAAGGGCACACCTTTATTTCACTTCCAGACTCTGCAACAGTTGCCCTCCGTGAGAAAGTTCCTTTCTGGGGTAGGTCGACCTTTTACCACTCAGGGTCGAATATTCCAGTCCTCAGATTGCATCATCGTGGAGGGCAAGGCAGGGAAGAGAAGAATCAGAAGCAGCCTCATTCCCACCACCACCAACCACCCAACCACCGCTGTATCCAGACAGAAAATTCCCTCTCCCATCTTCTGAATACAAGCCAAAGCGACCCCTACATTACATTTTCTCAAGGAAATCTTCAGCCTACCAGCTCTGCAATTAGCCACACAGATTTCAAGTTCTCATTTGGCTTTGGAGGTCTACCACCTAGAAAGGGAATAGGAGTTGGAACAAACACCAACATATTCCCCTCCCGGAAGAGATGAAATGAAAAGGGTTTCAAGGCAGATAGCTAGCGATTCATCCCCACCCCTTTCCCCTAACTACCCCTCCTGAAAACGACCCCCCTCCTCAGTCTAGGCAAATTCTACCCACTAGGCAGCATCCAGTGACACCCCCACCTCCTCCCTCCAGCCGGGCTATGGGAGAGCTCCTTCCCCTGCCTCACAGTTTTTGATTCCCCAAGCGTGGAGCCACCCAGTACTGCTGGAGCTTCCCTGAGTCTTTCACTACGCCAGGCAGTCGCACCCCTTTTCTTTACCTGTACTCATCCGGTGGACAGTGGATGGTGCTGAGTGGACAGCAAGGTATGCCGTCTTCAGATCTCTGAGGCCCTGAGGCGGGGGTGGGGGTAGGATGTTGCTTCCTAGGCCACTAAGCGAATTGGGGCTGCTAGAAGGAGCTGCTCTGCAAGGCCGCCCAGCAAGGGGGAGCTGAGTTGAGGCCTCATAGTTCCCACAGCAGCGGAGGCGGCCCCTTCTACCCACAAGGCCCTCCCAGCAGCCATGCTTCTTTCAGCCTTTGCCCATTGAGACAAAAGAGCATAATGAGCCTGGCGGCGCGGCCAATCAGTGGGACGCGGGGGCGGCCTCCCTGGTCAGCCTCGGCCCAAGCCATAGCTAGCAAAAGGGGGGAGCTACTCGCGGGGGCTGCGGCACACAGGCGCGAGAGCCAGCATAGTGTCAAGTGCAGCTGGGAAACACCGGACTCGGCCGATTTGCATTTTACCCGTGAGTTTGTTGCTTTTCTCTTTGCTTCCCTTCTCCCACTCAACCCTTCTACCGTACTTTCCTTAGCACTCTGCGACTCGATGTCTTAAGCACAAGGTGGGACAGAAATCAAGTAAACAATAAGAGTTCCTCACCGTTGTATAGTAGAGGGAAGGGGGGAAAGCGTTTACTGAGAGCTTTCTACTTGCAGATGCTCTTGCATTAACATTCATTGATTCTTCTCAGCAGGCTTGGGAAGAAGGTAGCAGAGTGCCCAGCTTAAGCGCCCAGGCAATATGGTTAGGAAGTGCGGAGCTAAGAGCTCATGCCCAAGTCGACATGTCTGATTTCTAAGGCTGTCTCTTGCGAACACTCCTCCCTCCCTACTCTCAGATTGAGGGTTAGTGGAGAAGAGCCAAAGTGGAGATTGGAGGGCTCATTTAGAATTACAAAAAAATAGTCAGCAAGGACTACTCTCTCTATTTCATAGATAAGGAAACAGAGAGGTTAAGTATGTTGCCTGGAACCACATAGCAAATAAGCATCAGCTTCGATTTTGCACCCAAGTCTGCTGCTCTCTGAATGCTATTTGCTCAATTGAGCTTTTTTTTTACATTAGTGTTCTCAAACCTTATCAACAGCAAGCAGTCTTGGTGTGCTGGTAGTGCAGAGGGAGGGGATGAGGAGGCTTCAGGGAGAGGGGTGTGGGAAGACATGGGCAACTTTTACATTACCCATTATACCCAAGAGGAAAGTAAGCTAACTTTCTTTCTCTTTTTTACACTAAAACAAGTTGCCAGTTTTTTTTTTTAAAGTAAAACAGTATTTCTACAGCTTATGGCCCCAAAAGAGATAAAGCTCAGAGGTGAAATGACACCTGAAATTACAAGGTGAAGCCAAAATTTGGACCAAATCTCTCTGATGCCAGAACCCATGCTATTAACCAAAGTGTGGATACAAGGCTGGCTGCCTCAGAATCATTTTGGAGAGTTTGTGAGAAATGTAGATTCCTGAGACCCACCTCTGGGGGATTTGGATTTACTAAGACTGGAATGGGGAGTCTGATTTATATTTTTAAATACTGCCATTGTTAATTCTGAGGTGTAGAGAGATTTGTGAACCACATCAGGTGAGTAGGCCTGCTGCCAATGTACCTGTCCACAGTATATCTGTCATAAGATGCAACTCCAGAGCTGAGATTCCTACCTAGGGTCTTTCCTGAAATTGTTGGCAAAGAATTTGGACCCTGTCTATCTTTCTGAGTCCACAGCTTGGTAGATTTTCAAATAAGTCAGCCACCCAGAAATGGTTAAGAACCACTTCCCTACAACCTTTCTTTATAGCATCTTCCTCTTTCAACTTGATTTTGAGAAAGAAGTGTGAGAACGAAACAATTTGATCTAAACCAAAACCATAGCTCTCTGCTTCTGATAGAGCTCTTTCATTTCCTGGCTTCAGGACAGGTTGCTAGGTTGCCCTTCTGTGAGCTCTTGAGGGGACCTCTCCTTTGCTGGATTTTCCATCACTGGCCCCAGAGAAGTAGCAACTCCATGGAAACGGCATGCAGGGCTGTCCATAGTGAAAGGGTTGTGAAGCCAGGGGCTGGGAAACCTGCCCCATTTTCCGTAACTTCTGGTTCTTGGAGAGCAGGTCTTTACTTCACTTACTAGTATGTCAATTATCGCTAGAAGGCTTCCTATGGGTCTTGTTCTTGACTTCTGTTGCTTGAAAGCAAATGCACAATCTGATTCCCTTTTACTGATGAGTTCATCTTCAACCTGCCAAGGTACTTCACCTGCTCCTTTCTGCCTTCTTATTTACAGCCCCAATACCTAGAGTTCCTTGAAGTAAACAATTCAGATTTGGAGATGAAGCACTTTCCATTTGAACACTGTGGACTTTTTCTTGTGGATGGAACAGTGAATGGGGTAGAGGAGGGAGGTAGAAGGTTCATCTTACACAGTCAAGAGTGATGCTGGAAGTAGCTCTTAGGTTTCCTTTCCAGTGGTTTTCAACCTTCTGGCCCTTTAAATACAGTTCCTCATGTTGTGACCCAACCATAAAATTATTTTTGTTGCTACTTCATAACTGTAATGTTGCTACTGTTATGAATCGTAATGTAAATATCTGATATGCAGGATGGTCTTAGGCGACCTCTGTGAAAGGGTTGTTTGACCACCAAAGGGGTCGCGACCCACAGGTTGAGAACCGCTGCAAGTTTAGACTCTTGCTTCTGCTCTCCAATCCCATGACATCTGACCCTGGGGTTCAGTAGATTCTTCTGTGTTTCAATTGACTTCCTCACCAAATTAGGTGATCTGCAGTTGACTTGGTGAGGGTGGGTCAAATAGGACAAATAATAGATCTTAAAGCTCTGACAAAAAAAATAGTGAAAGGAAATGGATTGTGTAAATGTGCCTGGATCTGGTCATTAGAACAAAGTGGGAAGGTCTCTGCCCAAGGCTGGGAGGAAGATTTGCTCATTTGGCTCCAACTGGGTACAGAGCATCCCTTATCTCTGGCCTCAATATGTGGACTGTGTTCCAATTCATGGCTTTATTGAGACCACATTTTCCAATTTCTACAAAGGAACCTTAATAGCACAAAGTTTAGGGAGATAAAAGCTTTCAGTTGAACAGTTGAAACAACAATGGTTGTCCTTGACTGCCTGCCTCTGTGCCAGGAACTTTCCATCTGTTATCTTATTTAAGCTTCTCAGCAACCCTGTCAAGACAGGCATGCTATTCCATTTTGCAGATCCAGAAACTGATTTTTTGTGAGGTTAAGTAAATTGCATAAGCCACACAGCTGGTTAGTGGAGGTACTGGGACTCCAATGCAGGGCTGTCAAACTCCAAAAGCCATGAATAGTTCTTTTGCTGTCTTCCAAACACATAATTGAAAATGGACTCTGCAGATGACCCAGTACATTAGACTGATTTTAGCCTTTAGAACAATGTAGTTGTAATCTTTATTCCTGGGATCTCATTTTTTAAAGTGAAACTACTATTATAACTTGTGGAGCAACTTAAATACCAAGTATTGTGCTAAGCATTTTATATTTTTCATCTCATGCATCCTTCATGACAATAATTTTACAGATAAGTATACTGAAGCACAGAGAGGTAAAGAGACAGAGACTTGGCTAAGGTCATAAAGCTAGGAAGTGGCACTGCAAAATTCAAACCCACAATGCACTGCAGTGTGGAAAACAAATGTGGCCCTCATTCTAAATCATCTCTCTGTTAGCCACAGCTGTATCTCCTTCCCATGGTCTGCATCCAGCACCATGCACCACTCATGCTTTTAAGTCACAGTGCCTTAGGCCTCTTCCTCAGCCTAGAATACCTGCCCTCACTCCTCTACTTAATGAAGGTCTGCTTATTGGTTAAAGATCAAGTCAGATGTCCCTCCCTGAAGAAAAATTTTGGACTGTTCCCTGTCCCAGGTGGAATACATAGCTCTTGCCTTTCTACTCTGTCCTTGATTACACACTTTATTTTGCCTTCCAGTGTAGATTAGCTCATTGTTGACCTGTCTACCCCACTATATTCTTAAGCCCTTTAAGGTAGGTACAAAGTCCTATTCACTTCCAGCTCCACAGTGATTTACTCACAGTTATTCACTAGATCAGTGGTCAGCAAACTCATTCGTCAACAGAGCCAAATATCAACACTACGATTGAAATTTCTTTTGAGAGCCAAATTTTTAAAACTTAAGCTATATAGGTAGGTACATTGTTATTAACTTAATTAGGGTACTCCTAAGACTTAGGAAGAGCCACACTCAAAGGGCCAAAGAGCCGCATGTGGCTTGCGAGCCGCAGTTTGCTGACCACGGCACTAGATGATCATACTGAATACATGTTTGTGAGCTGACCAACAGATTGGCTCAGGTATGCCCTGAATGAATGGACAAATGTGGGACTGGATCCCTGGATGGTCACACAGGCTGTCCATCTGTACTAGTCTGGCCAGGGGAGTCTGGAATCCCCTGGGCTCACTTTAGTAGGCTACAAATGCAGGAGGCACAGGCCAACTCCAGGCCCAACCTGTGGTCTTGACTTTGAAATTCATCTTAATGGGGCAGATTGTCTGCGATTGTTTAACACCTTGACATTTACAGAAGAAAAGTCTTTCCCACCTCCAAATGAACATGGGATTGGTTCCATCATACCACATCATCTGGTTCTGGCTGGCCTGAGAATGTCCCACAGGAGCATTTGCTCTGTGGAGACAGATGTGAGGTCAGGAAGCATCTTATTTTTATTTATTTATTTTTATCGAGGCCACCATGCTATGGATGCTCAACCACTTTATCTCATTTGATTTTATTAATCGTCACAAATACATATTGAGAGAGATCTATTGTCCTTATTTTATAGCTGAAGAAACCAAGACTTGGTGAAGTTTCTTGAACAATCAGACAACTAAGTAAATGTGGAGGCAGAATTCAGTCTCAGGTCAGTCTGTCCCCAAGACTAGCATCTGAACAAGAAAAACTGGACTCTCCTCACCCCCCATTAAATAGGAAAAATTAGATTTATAAAATGACAAATTAGATGTTTAAGATAAAATATGTCTAAATAATTCACCTTTAATCCCTGAAAATGACTGGAAAAAGGCGTAAAAAAAAATCAGGGATGGAAAAATACAATTAATTCCTCTATCAAATATTTGCCAAAATTCCCCCATGTCAATGCCCTGACATGCACAGTATGAGGATACCTAGGGAGATTTTTACCCGGTTTTCTCATTTTGTAACTCAGATGGAGGAGACTACAAGATGTAAATTAATTTCTAAAGGTCGCATAGGATTGGGACGTTAACACAACTGGCACTTAGAATGATGGTCTGCCAAATCCTAGCTCCGTTTTCTCTCTGCTTATGCAGCTAGGAAAAAAAAATGTTTTTAGGTTACTCAGGAAAGTATTGGAAGGAAGTGGTACATTGTTGCACTCTGAAATAGAAGAAGGAACAGACATTTCCCTCATCACTCATCTTTATTTAGATGCGGGTAAAAGTTGGAGAAGAGGTCCTTTGGGAGGACAGCTGTGGAATATTAGGAGGCCCTGTGGCTTTAGGAGCCTGAGTGGAGCTACCTCCTGCCTGGAGTGAGGAAGGTGTCCCTTTGGCTTTGGAGAAATGGAGGTCACTGCTAGGCCCCAGAGGGATGCGAGGAGTGGGCCTCTTTAGCCTTTGCTCCTGGCCAGTGCTCAGCTAAAGGGTTCCAGGCAGAGGGGCCCTCACAGTCTCCTGGTCAAGGGGTGAGGAGGTGGGGCTTACAGCAAACATGGAATGTGGGGTGGGGGAGGAGTGATGGCACAGCAGGGGAGGCTGAGCCTCTACCCCCTCCACCAAGAGAGAGTGTGAGTGTGTGGCTTGAGGTGGGGGGTTGTAAAATGAGATTGTGGGATCCTGGATGGAGCAAGAGTAAGAAGCCAGGGAGGAGCTGAGGGGTGATTCTGGAAGGAGGAGCCCTTTAAGTCAGGTTCTGGGTGCAGCAGTCCAGGAAAGGCTGCGTGGGCTTCTTGCAGTGCCTGGCTTCTCTCCCTCCCTCTGGGCCTCAACCCTCTTTGCCCCTATTAAGTGGGCCACCAACTGCTAGCTAACTAGAGCCCCAACACCTCGCTCCCCTCAGGACCACAGGGCCCAGAGTTCTGTGTGAAACCTCTGGGTCTGCAGTTCCTACCAGGCTTCCTGTCGATCTAAATGTGAGTCCCCAGCCTGGTCATCTGCCCCCACCCTCCTCCTCCTCTCTCCTACTCATACATCTATGCTTCCTCTTCACACACCTTCTCCCACTGCAGCACCCTGTCCTCTCAGCTTAGTTGGAGCCCCTATTTCCTTCCTGACAAGCTCTCTCAGGTCCTCAGATTCACACTGAGCATTAATTTTTTCTTGAGCACTGCTTCTTCTCTTTTTATAATGATTCCGACTCAGAGGCAATTCTGTCTGCCCTCTCCCCAGGACATATGGTAATATGGAGATGTTTTTTGTTGTCATAACTGTTTAGGGCAAAACTGGTGCTACTGGCATCCAGTAAGTAGAGGCCAGGATACTGCTAAATATCCTACCATGCACAGGATAGGCACTAGAACAAAGAATTTTCTGACCCAAAATGTCCATAGTGTCAAGGCTGAGAACCTCTGCTCTCTCATACAAGGTTAGGCATGGAAATTGCTAGGTGCAGAGTCTTTTGGTGCTGAATTTCTAGGAACAGCTCCTCTTTCTATTCCTCATTCTGGATAGGGGAACATGAAACAGCTACAACATAGGCAAGAATCTACAGAAACAGAGTAGAGGAAGACTCACCACGCCTAAAACTTCCAATTTTTAAAGGCAGCAACTATTGAATGCCTTTCTGCTGTACAAGATAGTGCCACTTTTCAGAAAGAGAATAGCAACTTATTATTCTAGCAACTTATCAAATGTGACTTTTCATGTGGTGAAAACAAAATATAATAGGTTTTGGAGCCCTCCTTCTCCAGTTTTATTCAATCTTAAACTTCCTTTGAATATTAGAATATTTGCTGTGTCAGCAAAACACTGTAGAGGTGACTCCAGAAAAACTAACTGCCTTTGTTTTAATTCTTCCTTAAGAGAGTTATTTCTCAGAAACTGGACCAAAGAGTGGCTTGTTTCCTGAAACTCATAGTTCTCTTTCTAACTAAGCAGTGAAAATGCTCACCAACAGATTTAATAGTCAGCCTAACTTATTCCCCCTAACTCTTGCCAGTTTATTCCATCTGCACCCAGTTGTCTCCAGCATGGGGGAACCGAACCACTCTCCCGGGAAGGAGCTTCAGCACTGGACGCAAGCAGAGACTCCTGGAAAGAAAAGCTGGCATTCCCAGGCCTATGCCCTTGGGGCCATTTCCAATTTTATGTCTACTTTTCTGACCTTTCCTATTTATAAGGTTGTATTCCGGCAACAGATCCATGCTGTGGCGGTGTCAGAGGCTCTGCGACAGCTTTGGCAAGAAGGCCCCCAATACTTCTACCGGGGAATCTACCCGCCTCTTCTCTCCAAGACATTGCAAGGGACTCTACTATTTGGAACTTATGATAGCCTGCTGTGCTCTATCTCCCCTGAGGGGCCACACTCTCTGGGACACCGCTGGGCTGCAGGGCTCATGTCTGGTGTGGTGGAGGCTGTGGCACTCAGCCCCTTTGAAAGGGTGCAAAATGTGCTCCAGGATGGTCGCAAACAAGCTCGCTTCCCTACCACCTTCAGCATTCTCAAGGAATTCAACTCTTATGGGCTTTGGGGGCGGCTATCGCTGGGGTACTATCGTGGTTTCTGGCCTGTCCTTCTCAGGAACAGCCTGGGGAGTGCTTTGTATTTCTCCTTCAAGGACCCCATCCAGGATGGCTTGGCAAAACAAGGCCTACCTCACTGGGTCCCTGCCATGGTGTCTGGCAGTGTCAATGGAACAATCACCTGCCTAGTTCTTTATCCTCTGATTGTACTAGTTGCCAATATGCAGTCCCATATTGGCTGGCAGAGCATGCCCAGCCTGTGGGCCTCTGCCCAGGACATGTGGGACACTCGGGGCCGAAAGGTGTTCCTGATCTACCGTGGAGGATCCCTCGTCATCCTAAGGTCCAGTGTGACATGGGGCCTCACTACCGCTATCCATGACTTCCTTCAGAGGAGGTCTCATTCCAGGAAAGAGCTGAAAGACTGACTAGCTTCAGAAAGTGTGGCCATGGCAACTTTGTTATTCGAAGTCTTCTTGGGTTGGTCTAAATAGCTTACTTCTTTGGCTTGGTTATCTAATACAATCATTCTTAGGATATTTGAACTGTCAGTGCACTAGAGAAGTTCCCAACCACCAACCTGTTGGGAACAGACAAAGCCTAGTATCCTACCTTGGTCAGAAAGAGAAAGTCACTCATGCCAGTCCACAGCTTCAACAGCCTTGGACTTAGGAGGCCTATAAATAACTTGTCAACCAGATGAAATGTCATTTCTTTAAGGAATTCTTTGATAATAAGAGGAAAGTTTAAAAGAACTTTAATTAGGCACTGTGAGTTTTGGGACCCCTCTTGTTCTCTGGACCAAATTGAGTGGAGGACCAGGAACTCCAAGTTCAAAGAACTAAGCTTGACTCTTACGATGGGGATTGCATAGAACTTCTCAAATGGCTATATTTTCATGACATTGTTCACTACACCTGTCACCACTACTCTCATTTCTCACAACTATGGGTAGCTTCAGGGTGGCAGTTGTAGCTGGGAATTCTAAATTAGACTTGTTTCAATTGATTAGGTGCCAAAAGAACTGTTGAGCTGGAAGTGGCAGTGGGGAGAGTTGTGGTTCCTGGATATATAGAAAGAATAGACTTTGAAGGAAGCAATTTAGTTGCATGTAAAGTAGAAAAAAATTACCATATATTGCTTGGAATTATCTGCGGGGACATTTTTGTTAGCAAAGCAATGGCATTGCCTAGAAACCACTTTAGTTTCCCTAAGAAATCATCACAGATCATTGCATATTTTATTGCTGTCGATATAGTCACTGTGACATAAATTAAAGATCAGAAATCTTAGCCTGTAGTTCAGAGCCATTCAAAGTATAGTACTCATAACTTTTAGCATTTCATCACACCACTCTCACTTACATAGATTTCATATACCAGCCAAACTGGACTATTGTTTTCTCCCCCCAAATGCCCCAAACTTTACCATGGCCATACTTTGGCCCACACTTATTCTCTTCACCTCCAGTGTCCCTTCTCCACATGCCAGTCTGCCAAAATCCTTCCAGACCTCAAAGTCCAGCTTAGAGGCCACCTTCTCTGTGGCACCTCTCCTGATTACGCACAACTGAATGTGATGGTAGTCTCTTGTGATAACTTAATATATGGCGCTGATTCCATTATGTTACTAATGTCATGTGGCCCTGTGTTCTTGGTGTTCTTCAATACCTCCTACTAGACTGTAAAACTCCTAGAAGGCAGGGATTCTTGTACACATGTTTAAATCTTCTATTGTGCCTAGGTGCTCAATAATGGTTGAATTATTGAATTGATTATCAAACTGTGATATGGTCTTTATCCTCAGGGAGCTGTCTCTTGTACGTGAAGATAATGTCACCAACTCACCCTCAGCAAGAGACATACTTTTGGGGTGTGATTTTGTTTTCTCTTACAGTGGGGCCTTGACTTACAAGTTTAATTCGTTCCGAGACTGCGCTCGTTAAGGAGCTCGTTAACTCAAATTACTCTATCAACTCAATGCAAAAAATCAGCCAAGAGACAGCTGGTATCTCAAAAAACTCGTTAGTCGGGACACTCGTAAGTCAAGACCCTACTGTATTAGTATATTTAGTTTTGTGTTAATGTTGCTGCTGCTGATAATAATGATAATAAATGGCTTTCAACTGGAACATTTGACCAGTTTGTTATTCATGGTATGTTTGCTATTAGCAACACTTTAGGAACTGAAATTTCACTAACAGAAACATATTGCTTAACAGTCTTTTTAATTTCAGCTGGAATTTTGAGGATTTCCAAGATGACATATGTTGCAGTTTTACCCTGATAGATATGATAATGACCTCCACTTGCACATCCATACCCAACTGAATTCGTCATTTGTAATGACATGATTGTAGATCCTTGTAATGAGAATTCCTCACTGAATATCACAAAAACTAGACACCACTGTAGGTAATACGAAATCAGAGAGCATTTGCCAGCAAGGTCAACAGAAAATGGCTTGTCCAGAATAACTGCAGATGAGTTCCCACGTCTGATCCCATACAGACTTAGATGGGATAGGGCAGTACTCTTCCTATAGACTAAAGGAGGGAAAACACAGTCTGCACAAGTGACAGCAAAATAGAACAGCAGCTAGTTATATTTCAAGGCTAGCTCAGAAGAAAGAAACTATTATTTACAAAAATTCGTAACTTAGCTATGACTTTGGTTTTTAAGCTGAAAAGGAAAGGATACATTACTGTATCTACCCACGTTTTTATGCAAGAGATGCATTTATTTCCAACTATGCTGTCAATTTCCACTTAAGTCACTGCCAGTATATGCCTCTTTCTTCATTTTAACTTATTTAGAAACTATTTCAAACTTTTAAAAAATTGCCAGCATAACTAAAGTATATAGAACACTCCCATGCTCTTTACCCAAATTTACTTACTGTTAACATTATTTACAGTTGCTTTATTGAGACTTCATTCTCTAGCTACACACACACACACACACACACGACATTTTTCCTGAACTATCAAAGAGTTGCAGTTGTAGTATTTCTAGATTCAATGTTTATAGAATCAAATTATTTTAAAAAGACTGTTTTATCTCTATGATAATGGCACAGTTATAGAATATTAGAAAATCCAATTTCATGGCATATTTTGAAGCTACATTGGTGGTAATTGTTTCAATTTACTATATTTGCCTTTATAAAAACTTTAAATTTACATTAAGTATGTTAATACCTGAAGTTATGCAATTATAACATAAACACAAATTTACAAATAAAGCATGTTATAATTTAGTTTTTTACAAATTGGTTCATAATAAAAACATAGGCAAAATTATAAAATTATATAAACCTATCAACTTTTTCCATTTAAATCTCTGAGTAAAGTTTGAGTGTAATAGTTTCTAGTAATTTTAAATGTCCATATTTAGTTTTGTAAAGTTAATGTGGTTATATTTTCTGACATTTAAAAATGACTTTTGAACTTGAGATCTATAAAATAAGGAGGTTTTTAAATACTGATGTCTTTAAAACTTATAAAATGTAAAATTTAACACTAAAGCTACTTGGTATAAAAAGTTGAAAGAAAAATAATAAAATTCCCTGTATAAGCCCTGTGTATTTTTGTCTAAATGTAAACTACATCAGCTTTTCTAAAATACAAGGTGATTGCTTCTCGGCCTTTTGGCTAAGATCAAGTGTAGTATCTGTTCTTATCAGTTTAAAATACAAGGTGAAATAATAAATGATTAATGTACTAACACAATTATATGGTTTATGATACTTAATTTTGCTTTTAAATTTTATTTTAAAACATGAAATAGCATTATAATCTAACTACATGTTTGGGATAACTGCATATACTGTAGTATGTTAAAATTAATAAAATAATGTTACATATGATAGAAAAGAATACAATGAGAATACTATATTTTTCTGTTCTGTCCACTTCAATTTCCCTGTTCCTTTGATACCATCTTCCTTCTAATCAAATCTTTAACACCTCTTTCCTCATCCTCAATCCCAGTTGGTGACCTTGATTTCCATTTCATTAAGAAAGAAGCAACATTCAACAGAGAACTGTCAGTTAAAAGAACATTTATAGCCGAAACCGGTTTGGCTCAGTGGATAGAGCGTCGGCCTGCGGACTCAAGGGGCCCAGGTTCGATTCCGGTCAAGGGCATGTACGTGGGTTGCGGGCACATCCCCAGTGGGAGATGTGCAGGAGGCAGCTGATCGATGTTTCTCTCCCATCGATGTTTCTAACTATCTATCTCTCTCCCGTCCTCTCTGTAAAAAATCAATAAAATATATTTAAAAAAAGAACATTTATAAAGCTATCAGCCACCTAACGACTATCCAGGACAAGAAGTAGAACACCTTGATTACCCCTATTCCCCTCACTCCTCCTGATCCCCAGTCCCAAGTCATGACATTCCTCTACCTTCCTAGAGGTAACCTCCATCCTGACTATTGTGATTTCATTTTTTTTCCTTTTCTTTATAGGTTTATCGTCTATATGAGTAAGCAAACCTAAACAATACAGATTTGTTTTTATAGATATTTAAACTTTATATACTTGGAATTGTGACCGTCTTCTTTCACTTCACATTATTTGTGAGATTCATTCATGTTGTTGCAGGTAGCGGTGGTTATTTCAATCATGATAAATTTACTTTAAAAAGTCTTCATTCCTTAGAGCAATTTTAGGTTCATAGCAAATTTGAGAGGAAGTTACAGGGGTTTTCTATACATTCCCTACCTGCACACATACATAGCCTCTCCCATTATCAACATTTCCCATCAGAGTAGTACATTTGTAACAATTATCACTTAAAATCCAGAGTTTATATTAGAGTTCACTCTTGGTACACTTCCTATGGGTTTAGACAAATGTATAATGACATGTATCCACTATTATAGTATCATACAGAGTAGTTCCACTGCCCACCACTCAAATCCTCTGTGGTCTACTGTTCATCTCCCTCCAGCTTCTGGCAACCACTGATCTTCTTACAGTCTCCATAATTTACATTTAAGATAATGTTATATATCATACAGTATGTAGCTTTTTCAGATTGGCTTCTTTCATTTAGTAATGTGCAGTTAAGATTCCTCCATGTCATTTTATAGCTTGATAGCTCATTTATTTTAAGAACTGAATAAATAATGTATCACAATTTATTTATTCACCCATCTACTGAAGGACATATAGGTTGCCTCCAAGTTTTGGCAGTTATGAATAAATTTGTTATAAACATCTGTGTGCAGATATTTGTGTGGACATGTTTTCACTAACTTTGGATAAATATAAAGGGAAAAAATTGCTAGATTGTATAGTAAGCATATGTTTAGTGTTTTAAGAAATTTTCCAAAGTGTCTGGCTGTACCATTATGCATTTCCATTAACAGTGAATGAGAGTTTCTACATCCTTGTCAGCATTTGCTGTTGTCAATGTTGGGCATGTAGGGCAATTCAATCCTTAATGGCCACTTGTAAACTTCCTGCCACAGGAGAACAACAACAACAAACAAAAACAGGAAAAACTTGCTGGACACAAGGAGTCAGACAATACAATGAATGGAAACTGTCCTGAGGGCATCTGATCACATACCCATCCCCATCACAAGCCCACCAGCTCAGCCCCAGACCCACTGATGACAAAAGTTTCCCACCAGTGACTGCATATAAGGATGAAGCTCCAGCTCCTGGGTCCTGCCATCATGGATCCAATGTCTCGGTGGCTCGGTGCTGTGCAGCCCTTCTCTTTGGGTATCCCATCCTCATCTCCTTTCCCTAAATAAATTCAATTTTTCTTTATCCACAGGCTGAGATGGCTATTTAGCACCACCCACCATGTTCACCTTTCCTTTTGGAGGCCCTATGGAGATATCCAGAAGGGAAATCCCTTTCTTTCCCTTCCCCTCATCCCACGCCCAATCCCTAGAGACTTTAGTCTCAGGGTCCAACACCGACCAAGGCTTTCTGGACTCCCAAGCAGC